ATTATATATATATATAATATTATTGTATTATCACTGTGTGTATGAATCTCTATGTCTCTATATATCCATATCTATCTATCTAATCTGTCTGTCTGGCTATCTATCTATTTTATCTATCTATCTATCTATCTACCTACCTACCTACCTATCATACCTATCATACATCTGTACTGAATTTAGATAACAAAGACTGCATTTTTGTATATTCACTCACAAAAGAAAATGATGATCATTTCAGTTATACTCCCCAAGTTTATAGATGTACAATAATCTAGAGCAGGGGTGTCAAACTCAAGATGCTTAGATCTGGCCCATGGGCCCACCATGAAAACAGCGAAGGACTGGCCCGCAGTGCCTCTGCCAGTGAAAATGGAGCTCGCGCGAGCCGTGCGCAGCTCACCTGAGCTCCGTTTTTGCTGACAGAGGGTTGCAGGAGGCTGTCCCATCTGGAAACGGAGCTTGGGAGCCCATTTTCACTGGCAGAGCTCAGGCCACCCAAGCACCCCCAACACAAGTGATGTCAAGCTGCCCCCCCTCACCCCGCCCGAGTTCAAACGCAACCCTGATGTGGCTCTAAATGAAATTGAGTTTGACACCCCTGATCTAAAGTGTGCTAAAGACTTCATGCAGCCTCATGATATGAGAAGGAGATAAAATGGGAGGGGGGTAGAAAGGAGTGTCCTGGAAGAGAAATGGCTGGCACTTTGTGCATGCTTATTCCACATTGTGTTGTTTTATTGTATGGCTCATGGCCATTCTGTTTCCAACCTATGGGGGATCTTCCCATGTTATGTGTATCTTCATGGATAGTTTGTTTGCTAGATTAACATCTAAGGGTTCCTCTTCCCACCTTTTTACAGCTTACAAAAAGCAAGGTTTTCTTCCCTTTTTATTAATATAGAGAATGGGCAGACACCCCTGTAAAGTCTGCAGTTGCTCAGTTAACAAATGGAGGTGTTTCTGATAATCTGACTGGATGGTCATATGATGAAATATTTCTATATCTAAGACTATTTTGGGGGGGAGGTGGCAGGGGAGTGTCTTGAGTCCATGTTGCCTCCTGGCAAACTGCCTGTACAAGACCTGCGATTTTGGCAATTTTCTTGGCAAGATTTCAGAAGTGGTGTTTCCTAGAATGGAGAAGATACGACTGGTCCAAGGCCACCCAGTTGGCTTTGTGCCAAAGGCAGGACTGGCCCAGTGAGCTAACACTACTGTAAACTGTGGTCAGAGTTATTGATCATTAATCTGTCCTTCCAGGTTGTCATATTGCTACTACTGCATACTACATCATACTATCATCACTATTAATTATTAATGTCCTTTGTGCAACTATGGTTCTTGAAATGACTAATAGGATTGTTTGCCTTTACAACTGTGTTCACCTTCTAGTCCTGAACTGTTAGGGAGATGGGCTAATGTCTAAAACTGAACATTTGAGATCTGTTAACGCATCTACCTGAAATACATTTAAAAATCCCCATCTCTTCAGTCCAGCATCTTTGCTTTTAAATATCAGAAACAGAATGATGCTTTCAATGGCATCCAAAAGAAGAAAAAATGGGGGAAAGCGGTTTTCCCTCTGAAATTACCTATTTTTCAATATTTTTAGAGCGAGGGGTGCCAAGTTTGTTTGTTTGTTTTGGGGTTTGGCATTTTTGGGTGAGTATTTTGAGAAGGTATTTTGAGAGAGGTATTTTGAGAATTCAGAGTAAATTCACAGATGCCTCTTGGTTTAACTTTGCATGTTAGTTATTATTTAGGCATTCCAGAAACTAGTTTGCAGACCTAATCCATCATCCAGTAACCATTGATATACTGCAGGCAGGTTTGAACTAACAATCTTAGCTGCAAGTTTATCTGGAAACTAAATGATACTCATCAAGTTTATCTCTTTTTTCTGGCCTGAACTGACCTCAGCTTTATAGGAAAAATACATCAGAGGGTTAACAGAGTAGCTGTGCTTAAGGGTCATTTGATGGTCATCACATTTTAAAAAGAACTAGTATCTAACTATACACTTGGAATCAACAAAGATAATTTCTTGGACTATGTCAGTCTTCCACAATTCTGATCCTTCAAGTCTGTCACTTTAAATTAGAGCTAGAAGTTGACTGAAATTGACTTCTGCTTAAGGTATTTGAAAAGATGTTGGGTAATATCAGTCATGCATGCTCTAGTTGGATCCTGAACTGGATATCTTTCATATACATACATACATACATACATACATACATACATACATGGCATCCGGCTTTGTTCGGGTATTTTCCCACGTCATTGTAGTTGTGCTTTTAAAGTTGTAGCAACGTTTCAGCAGAATCTCATCCACCATCATCAGGCTTCTGTATAGTGTTCATCTGTGAGTCAGACTTTTACAGTGGTTTCAGATTTAAATTTGGGGCAGCCTATTGCTGTGCCAGAAT